AAGTCCTTGTTTTGTCATCTTGCTAATCGGGTTTAGTTTGGTTATTCTTAGAGTTATTATACAATAATTTTGATAATTTGCTTTGGAATAGTCATGTAAATGAGGAATTTATATTTGGCTAGCTATTCTCGAAACGTTCATAGTCCTACGAACTTCTTACCCCAATTTTTAACACATTGGCTACGATCAAAGTTAAGAATTCTTTGGACTTCAAACATTTCGAGAATAATGGCCCTGGTCTGTTGCCTTCATAGCCCCATGTGGAGCGGTGGGGTAGCCTAGTGGTTAAAGTGTTTGCTCGTCACGCCGAAGGCCCGGGTTCGATTTCCCACATGGGTACAACTTGTGAAGCCTATTTCTGGTGTCCCCCGCTCTGATATTGCTGGAATATTGCTAAAAACGGCGTAAAACCATACTCAGCCAGTCAGCCAGCCAGCCCTGTATCAAGCAGTAATTGGGCTGTGGTTGTAAGCATGTGTTAATGTGTAAGAGTACAAGTTGTCTGAAGCCCCAGGGTTCACTGTGTTGAGGCATGTTAGGAAAGTTTGATTATGGGTTTGAATCCCAGATCTGGCCAGATTATGTTTCTAGGTTTGTCAGTCACCAACAAGGTGGGGAATACCTGCATCATTTCGTGTTTCCTCCCTTCATCCATCCTTCTTAAGGCTGACATGCTGGGATGTACCAGAAAATCTCTTCAAAGCTTCATTAAACTCAGTTCATTCACTAAAGTACTGGAATTAAGTTATTTTAGATTGGTCAGTTGTTAGTGATCATCTGTGGCAATATGATAGTACTTCAACTGTGTTGGGTATATATCCAACAAATTCATTTTACATAACTTATTATTATTCCTGTAGACCACAACCACTTTCTGAGTTTAAGAGATTGAAAAAGGTTGCCAGCCTTACAGTGATTCTTCTTTTATAATTTTGTAGTTGTATCGGTAGCATCTAGATTGTCCCAAATGGATTTCAAGTATTACACTCAGAATCCTTCCTAACGCAGAGTAGTCTGCAGTTTCTCATGGTAGGGTTGGTTGTGTAGTCAAGTGGTTAGGGTGTTAGCTCTTCTCACCATAGAACCGAGTTTAATTCTTAACTTACACCTGTGATGTGAAACCAATTCCTTTTGTCTCTTGTGTCTGACTGTGGTGTAAAACAGCATTCACTCACTCACATCTGCCGATATTTGATCCATATTTGTGTATCAGTGATTCCTACATCTGGAAGCTGTCTTACTTCACACACTTGTGTCCAGGCATCTGTAGATGGATAGATAGGGAGGGTGGTTCAGATCCACCAGATAGCTGACAGATGAAACCAGGGGAGATAGATAGCATCACACTGTAGGTCCGTCATAACCACAGTCTACAGCAAGTTATTGATTGAGCAGGATCTCAATGCTAAGGTAGGAGAACACAGGATATACACTGTTCCTGGCTTTGTTTCTGTGTGTAACAACTAGCAGCACGCGATAACACATGCTAGCAGGTCATGACGTCATTCCCTTCGCCAACATCAGGCATATAGTATATATATATATTTGGTACCTTACTTCATGTTTGCCTAAGATTGGTTAGATGATTGTGGATCACAGTGTGACTGAGAGGTGTCGTGTGTCTTTGTATGCCTATTTCAGAGATTATGTTTTTATTAAGAATGTCATTATGTCATAATAGACAATATTGTGTACAGCTGGGTTGAACCTATGTTTTTGTTATGCAGTGTTGGAAATAGTGTTGGGAATTGGTTGAAATATCACAATTGATGATTGGTTCATTACCAATGGGCAATCATCGGAAAAAATTGGTTAGCGATCATTTTTCAGATTTTCCTATTCAGGTTGTTATTGCAGATAAGTATAACGTGGTTCTTTGTTGTTTTTAGTTTTATTTAGAAACTGCCCAACTGCATTAGCAAATTTCACATCCAATTTAAAATGATGGTACTCACTACTTTAAAGTAATGACTAATATATCATGAACATAAACCTCCTGAAGTCTTCAAGATATATTCAGTCATGACATTTCAGTAAGCGAAGTGAGTTTTCTAAGAATTAAACACGCTTTCAGGCCCTGACAGCTTCTAAGATATGTTTCATCGTGAAGTGTTTCAAACACTAAAACAGTAGTTCCAAAATTGTTTGTGTTCGATTATGAGAAAAGGCGATTGATTGCTTGGTCGTTTGGTCACTGCGACCAATCTTCGATATTTCAATGAATTGGAACACCACTAGTTGGAAATAAACGAGCACCTTTGAGGTCTTGGTGGTACTGAAGGTAGGAACCTCCTTAATCCTACCACTGAACATCAGGGTTATATGTGACAAGGATCACTTGACTTTCATGCTTAGTTATGAACACTGTAATGAATGTGTAAGAATGTCATCACTGACTCGATTGTGTTCAGCCTCAGTACATAGAATTTACATTTTACACCTGCTACCATAAATACCTCTAGCCCTTGAACATCTAAGGAAGGCTATAGGATGCTGAAACTGCATTTGATGTGTTTTCATGATAAAGTTTAGTAGTATGATTATATTTCATTAGATCCGTGTCTTTGATCCCAGCGTGCCCACAAGTACAAGCCATGCTCTCTGCCTCAGGTGTTTGTCAAGCTACTCACAGCAACTGGCAAGGCTGGCAACCTGATTTCATTTCCCCTCCTGTTTGATGATTGTTTGTACTTTGGACAAATTTCAAAAGATGAATCCTTTTATTCCAGGACTTTGATATGATCATCTCCTTAGGGTGATTCCTACACCTGTGTTCATCAGGTGGGGATGGAATGTATGAGATGGGAGGGATATACACGGGTTGATGTGAAATGTACAGATGTCCAAGAGAGGGGTCAGGTATCAGATCATGTGGTAAATGTTTGGAGCACACCTTAGCTCAAGCATGAAATGCAGGATACTTATTTATTTGGTTTAGACAACACAATAACTTGGAAAGATCAAGAATATGGATGAAACCTGTCCAAAACTGTTAGCCTATCTGTCCCTTTGGTTTATGGGCTTATATTTTTTATAGGTGCATGTTTGTTATTTATACATTTTTGTGACTTAATGATGTAAATGGCTTTGTAAACAAGGTATCAACTTGAATAGTTTTTAATTCAAAACAAGTGAGTGAGTTTAGTTTTACGCTGCACTCAGCAATATTTGAGCTATATGGCGGCAAACTCTAAATAATTGAGTCTGGACCAGTGATCCAGTGGTCAACAGCATGAGCATCGATCTATGCAATTGGGATATGATAACATGTGTCAACCAAGTCAGCGAACCTGACCACCCCATGAGTCGCCTCTTACGACAAGCATAGGTTACTGAAGATCAATTCTAACTTGGGTCTTCACAGATTAATGCAAAACAAAGAAACCTGTGTTAGAATGTGTGTTTGATATTTAGATGCTTTATGCTATGATCAAACTGTTATTTCAATTGTCACATCAGAAATACTGTGACATGAAAGGCTTTGTAGCAGCCCAATTAATTGCCCCGGATGATGCAGAGCATAGACAACTACAATCAGCTTGATGTTCTTGGCACCTTCGCATGTTATGACAATTTTTTCTCAGACTTCATTCATGGTAAATTGAAAGACGGGATACTCTTTGATTGGCTTTACTCCAGCATGCTGTTTCTGCTCTTTCCTCGTGGACCCTTGTGGACCCATCTCGGACATAAGGGGACATTGTGATCACTGCACAGCTGTGAAGATGCTGTAATTACCAGCCTTATATATCCAACAGTTCACCTAGGAAATTGTCCGTGTCCTGGCTTTCTCTTGCTCCAGGCTCTCGTCAGATCTGATAGTCATATGTTTCTTTGAAATGTACAAGGTTGTGTAGATGATAGACGGATGTGTCATCACTTGCATGTTTTGAGATCAACGATTTGCTTCTTAGCTCAACATGCAAGCAGAATATTTTTTAAGGGTTGCTGCACTCGTTTTTGATGTGGCGTTATCTTTCTATGGGGTTAGGGTAATCTGAAGGTTGTGGCAGTGGTTGTGTTTATAAGGGTAAATGTTCTGTGATGCTTATGGCTTTTTATATCATCTGCATGGAGTGACGGCTCTGAAGATGTTACATATTGTTCAACCTTGCTGAATGATTTGTACATTTTAGAAAAGGATTCTAGAAGTATTCATGCACTAGCTATTAATGATGTGATTAAATGGAGAGTGCCGCATGAGACTTATGTTATCCTCACTTTCTCATTGAACAATGTGTGGACTGTTTATGTATAATTTGTGTCAGTGTTTTCAGATTGTATATGGGAACTGGCATGATCATCATGAAGCCTGCTGACTTTTCTGTCATTGGCCTGGCTTTCTTAGTGTAATATCATACCCTAACAATGTCGGTCAGTGCACAGTGTTGCAGCCTGTGGGGCGGTGGGGTAGCCTAGTGGTTAAAGCGTTCACTCGTCACAACAAAGACTCTGGTTTGATTCCCCACATGGGTACAATGTTTGAAGCCCGTTTCTGGTGTCCCCAGCCATGATATTGCTGGAATATTGCTAAAAGCGGCATAAAATTAAATTCACTCACTCGCTCACTGCAACCTGTAATGAATGTCCCTTAAGGGGGTTTGAGAAAATGTATTTGTATATGTATATGTCAGAGGTGACTGACTGGATTGTGTGGCCAGGCTTGCTGATTTGGTTAACTGCACGGACAAATAATGTCAGCCTTGGTTTGTCTGGTCCATAATTGATAATTTACAGATGCCTGCCATCTAGCTGGACTTTTTAGTACAGACAAGCAAACAAGATATGATTCATGTTTGTGAATTTGTCTTTACTCTGTAAATATCTCTTAGAGGGTTACAAATTGATTTTAAATGCAGACCAATTCAGTTGGAATGTTGTGTGCTGTGCTAATTTCAATGTTCTACAGCTGATGGTATCTCCTGAGTAGCTAGCTACAAGGCCTGTGGTATAGTGTAGTCCATATTAAGGCAGTAAGAGTTATCTCCCCTGTGTTGCAGGTTTTGGAACAAAAGCCGGATGGTATCTGGAAGGGTTACGTAGTGCAGAGTGGAAGAATGGCAAAAACAGGCTTCTTCCCTGCCAACCATGTGGTTCTTGTTGACAGCCAAGGTGAGAAAATAAAAATATTTTCCAAATATTAAAATATCATGTTTAGAATCTACATGCTTCACATACTTTAATTGTAAACCTAAATAAATATGTGATCCTAAATTAACAAGACCAATAATCTAAATGCCAATTATATTGTTTATTTGAATTTTAATATAATAAATTACAGCTAGTTAAGTGATATTTTATATCACATAAATATTTTTATATCTTATTTATATCTGTGATATTTCTGATTATGGTAATTATTTCATGTAAATCGTTTTTTCGACTTGACAGTGGTTGCCAAACAGCAACAACAGATAAGCCAGCAGTCCAAACGTATCAACATGCCGCCAGTCCCTGATCTCCTGAACCGAAGCCCCGGATACATGGGCAGCAGTCAGCACGGTGGTCACTTCAGTGGCCTGGGGGTCGACGACAACTTCCCACCCCCTCCCTCACCCCTCACACTTGCCAGATCGCCACACAGAGGTAGGAATGAATTTATCTCAAGCATTATGTACCTATGCAAGACTTGTAATCTGAATGTTAAAACACTTGAAATTCTAACTGTAACACAATTGAAACCCCTGTCTGTGCTGTTTAATTAGCTTCAGTTGTCTAGTGTTCAGTAGGTCTTAAGTCAGCAATATCACTGTTCACTTATTTACAGCAAAACCCAGTTAATACGGACAGCATATACCATTTGTATGGATAAGCAACATAATTGTGAGGTGAACGAGGGTGTGCATTCAAGATTATAATAATAATAATAATGATAATGGATTTGTATAGCGCCTAGATTCCACATATGGTACTCAACAGTGCTGATTATTATTACCTTGATAACCCAAGCTGGTGGCACTCTGGATTAACAAATCATAGTTATAGGAAAATATTCCTGGTATATATCTAGATGTTCCTGACAGTTAATGTCCAAAAGGTAAGGTGTCTAGACTATCAGGGGCCAGACGTGTGATAAATTTTAAATGTGAAGTTCTGTTTGAGCTTGGTTGAGACAGGTTTGAATTATCCACTGGTCCTACAGGCTAGGACTAGATCGACTACTTCAGTCCAATTTAACTGGTTTTACAGTTAAAATCAAGAGTTTACTCTCACCTTTATACCCAAAAGAGACACTTTGTGAAAAGGAAAATGACCTCTACAACCTACTGTAGATATTTGAAAAGGCAGACATTTGTGGCAGGTAAATATGTTGAATTGTCATACATTTGAAATGTAGATTTGGGTGAAAGGTTTTGGTTTTAATGACATTGAAAGGAATGTAAAACAGGCATGTTGTACACTGAACTGGGATATCACAAAGAGAGTTGTCCTTGTGTTGTTGCATTGGTACATGTCGCGAGAATGTTTGTTTACAAATTGTATGGAAGAAGATGAGATAGAATCACTGACGACTGCGTTGTAGTCACCAGACACTGACAAAGAGGTGCTGTATGAGATGTAGACTACCTGTGGCCGCTGTGATGCAGAATAAAGGAGACGTCTGCCAGCGGAGAAATCAACAGGCTAAACACGCTTCACACATCTGACCCGTTAAATATTAAATACTATGTATTTGTATAGATGTGTGGGGACACAAATGTATTAGGGAAGAATGAAAGGGGTAGTTTGTGTCGGGATGTCAGGACAGTTCTGTAGCACTGCCTTGTGACTGGCATGGAATTAAGGGGATTGAATTGAAATGTACAATTTGATGGTTGTCGACCACGTACTTCCAGCAGACTGGGTCTGAATGATGCATTCGTCAAGGTAGGACTGGTACACTGGATTGATAGTACCCTCACTACCACTTCTCCTTTCAATGTGTCTGCTATGTGGAGGAATGTTTTCACTAAGCGTTCACTGTCAATGGCCTAAGCTCTACTATGGCTGACATTCTTGCCTTGGCAATTTAGTAGTAACTATATGTTAGGATTGATTTTGACCTCTTCATTCTTACACATCTATAGAAATGTTGTATTACTGTTGGCATGAAATATTATCTGCATGATTTATTTGGCATTCATCATATATTAGGGACTCATTTGAAAGGGTTAAACCTTTACTGTGTCGAATCAGTGCTGCTTGATGTGCTTAGTCTAGTGGATAGAGTGTCTGCCCAGAGAACAGAGGGTCATTGGTTCCAGCCTCTGCTGAATTATGCTTTAAACAGATGATACACTTAAAAGATGGTACTTGTTCACCCAATTTCACTATCACCTTTTCTTATAGTTTGACATATGTAAGTTGAACAACAAACATATTGAGATAAGCATTTGCATCTTTCCAGGTGTACAGAATTTTTGGGAAAACTAGACATTTATTTAATTTTTCTGATAAAATGTAGCAACATTTAACAAGTTTATCAGAGATTTTAGACTCCAATGTTCACATTTAAACACTGAGACTATATTTTGGGACATTGGCTTATAAATGGAATACAAACACCATGAGATGAACCCACATGCAAAGATAATATAATTTTCTGAACGGTGAACCCTATCAACACAGCCAAATGTGATATTTGTTTGTTTACAAGGATGTCAACAATCCTGATTATACTAAGGTTCACTGAGCAGCTGTCCTGATAGCTGCATATATATTGTAACATTACAATGGACACTACTTGCAGGCCTTATCAGAGCTTGTTAACATTTATCTCTCACTTCAAAGATGGCATCTTTGTATATGTTAATCTGGAGGCTTTAACAGAATATGAGGTGATTAGTTCAATTGGCTGCAGTATGCAGGGACTGAAGTACGTGCTGGCAAAAAATTTCCAAAATTCCATTTGGCTTCCTTATTTCACCAGTGAATAAATGGAATAGCTTTTTTTGTAATTCCTGTGTTTGCATTTTATTACCATGGAAAACAAAAATGTTACCTGAAGAAGTCTTTTGCACATTTTGCCAGTTTAAGTTCATTTTTAGTCCTGGGATAGTGTTTTTGGTGAAGACATTATTTCTTCCAATGTGTTTTGAAGATATAAAATTTGTTTAGTAATTTTTCTGATGAGTGTTGCTAACACGTACAGGTGTATACGTAATTGAATCTGTAAACTATATATGTAATCACAAACTTTATATACCATTCAAAAAAAGTAGGGGATATTGGATTTACAAGATTGATAAAATGCAAATGATGAAGCCAAGGATGAAACAGATGATGAAGAGAAATTAATGGAAAATGTGACAATTTATTCCATTCCTTTGGAAATGTTTCATCTGTATGGATATGTATTACTTTTTCTCATATGCATTGGCAGTGGCTAGTGGTATGCTCTCAAAAATGGAATATCCCCTACTTTATTTTAATGGTATATTATGCACCCATGAAGATCCAGGTTAGAATTAGTCTTCAGCAACCCATGCTTGTTGTAAGGGGCAACTAACGGGATTGGGTGGTCAGGCTCTGGTTGACACATGTCATCGGTTCCCAATTACGCAGACCGATGCTCATGCTGTTGATCACTGGATTGTCTGGTCCAGACACGATTATTTACAGACCGACGCCATATAGCTGGAATATTGCTGAGTGCAGCGTAAAACTCAACTCAACTCACTCACTCACTACAACTTTAAGTAGTATTTAAGTTGTATCGGGATATATCGTCTCTCGTGGCGAGACATCGATGTACCATGGAACCTCGCGATATAAATATCCTGATATATTGCCTAAAATTGTGTTTTGTATTGATGCACTTGTATCTCGTAGTTGACGATGCAAACATCGATACCATCGATGAGTTGTTACACCACTGCGCACATGTATAGCTGGAATATTGCTGAGGCTGTTTTAAACAACAAACAATTATACATTAAACACAAAAGTCTGCACTGACAAGTCTATTTTCCCTTATAACAAAAGCCTCTACTGACCACAATATTTAACTTTACCTGAGTTGCTTTAACCCAGACAGTCGTATATGTGTCCATACTGACTGTACTTCAGTCAACTGTTTTTCTCCTGATCATGAAGCTGCAGTAAGGGAGTTAGGAAGTACGTTCATTTGTTTGATCTTTAAGTAAATAGAATTATTAGCAGGCAGTTGACAGGAGATGATAGATTGCTCAATACAGTAAATCCCATCTGTCCATTACTTGCAAGCCTTCACAATAAATATTACATCCTGCCTATGTTGGAATCAATTTCCAGCAGAGTGATATGGCTAGTGCATATGTGCAGGGGAGAGCACTTTAATAGTTTAGATGTTGGCGAAAAAACATTTGTAGTACCCTACCGTACCCTACCCTACGCTACGCTACACTACACTACACTACACTACACTACACTACACTACACTACACTACACTACACTACACTACACTACACTACACTACACTACACTACACTACACTACACTACACGTACACTCCTACCCATCCCTACCTACCTACTACATGTCCCTATCCTACCCATCCCTATCCTACACTACACTACACTACACTACCCTACACTACCCTACCCTACCCTACCCTACCCTACCCTACACTACACTACACTACACTACCCTACCTACACTACCCGTCCCTAACCTAACCTAACCTAACCTAACCTAACCTAACCTAACCTAACCTAACCTAACCTAACCTAACCTAACCTAACCTAACCTAACCTAACCTAACCTAACCTAACCTAACCTAACCTAACCTAACCTAACCTAACCTAACCTAACCTAACCTAACCTAACCTTATGATATTAGTTTCTTCTTGCAGCCAAGAGAAACCATCCTTTAGGAGGATTTCTTTTGAAACTATCCAAGAAGAAACAGATGAATGTTGTACTATCATTTGACAAGTTGGGGTAAACTTCATTTTCAGTCACCTAGCATACTGGGCTAGGAGAAAGAACCTCGCTAGAAATATTTGCTTCAGATAGATAACTTGTTTTTGTTGCCAGAAATAGACAGAATGAAAACAATCACTTCAAGTGCGTACCTCAGCATAAATAAATTGAGCTGTATGGAAACGAGCTCATTTTTTGGCATGTGTTTGAAATACGTTCGCCTCAAATTGCTTTGAAATTGACGAGATACCTAGCCGAAATTGACAAAGGCTAATGAATTATCAGTGTTTACATGTGCTTCTCAAAGTGCGTTTGCATGTTGGAGCAAAATGGAACGTGTGCATTGCAACAGAAGCTCTGCTTAGATATGAAGATAAACAGTTTTGAAGGAACAGATTGACATATGTCATCACTATAGTCTATTTTTTGCAGATTGGTTTCAATATTTGTAAAAACATCAGGCAAAGGAGCCTAATTTAATGTAATTGTGTTCATTGAGTACATATCAAGACTGTTTATTACAAGGTTTTGAATGAGTACCTGTATCATGAAACAGGGTTATATTGTAGCAGTACATGCAGTGTCAGGGGTGATGGGGTAGCCTAGTGGTTAAAGCATTCGCTTGTCACGCCGAAGACCCGGGTTCAATTCCCCACATTGGTACAATGCGTGAAGCCCATTTCTGGTGTCCCCTGCTGTGATAATGCTGGAATATTGCAAATAGGGGTGTACAACCAAACTCACTCACTCACTCACTTACTCATGCGGTGTCAGCAGGACAACAACAGGAAATGCACACACTATGTTTTCATCTATGACTAATCTGTCATTTAATTTAGATAGTGATTATGATGTGGAATATTTGTTTATGAATAATTTTGATCTATGACTAATCCATCATTTAATTTAGATAGCGATTATGAAGGGGAATATTGGTTTGAGAATAATTTTCTCCTCAGTTGATACAAAATCAACTGAAGCTATCATCCATTAACAGATGGACTTGATGCAAAGCTTCTTTGGAAAGGAAATTTAAAGAGATAATTATGCCATTTGTGGCACAGATGAAACAGAAAAAGAAGGGAAATGATGTCACGCAAGCAATTTTTAATTCCTCTCTAAGCCTTGATCTAAAAATACAGACTGGTCTATTTTGTCAACGGAACTCATTTATTTACAGGTAGTGATATGTTCATAGAGTATCTACCCAAAGGCTTTAAAGTTAAGTGTCCTTGGATTGTAACAAAGAACCATTAAGGAAGGATGCTGGCAATTCCGTATGATGAATTGCAGAACAAATGATTAGCTGCAATAAACGCCTCACCAGTGAAATTGACGTTAATGGTATATCATTTTCTGCTTTGCCACGTTCAGTCTGGAGATTGGAGAGCCCTTCACTCTAATTGGATGTATTCTGCTCCTCTCTAGAGCAAACTCATGTCTTGTAGCTCTGCTTTGTCCACTCAAGAGACTATTTACCCTATGACTGAACTCAATCCCAGTCAGCCGCATTTCTATATTAATGTTTGGGTGTATATTTTGACTGGAGCATCTCACACAAACAAGACAACTGCTTCGGCTGAAAGAACGAACCTGTCATTAAATCATTCAAGAAAGTTTTGATATCAAATTATCCATTACAGCAGGGAATAAAACAACAATCCATTACCCACAGGAAATTGCTTAGATTTTTTACAGAAAATGTTTACGATCGATGAATTAACATGGGAGGTTTACGTCATGCTTTGTTTCAAAGTTGGATCATAACAATGGCCACCAAAGATGTCTTTCAAGATGTCCTGCAATTTCAGAATTATGTGTGACAGTCCTTGAAATTGATGAAACTCCCAACAGTTGACCATTATTTCTGTCATGACATAACCCTATTCATATCATGTAGGCTGACTTGAATTATAATTGTGTAAGAATATTGCTGAGTGCGGCATAAAACTAAACTCACTCACTCACTATAATTATGTCAATGCATCATCATACCTTGAGAGCCTTTGCTGTTTCCCAATGCAGTCAACCACTGGTTTGTCTGGTCCAAAGTTATAGACTTTCAGACTGCCTTGCCAATGTTTTTGACTTCATCATTCACACTATTCACCCACAGATAACAGTTGGTTGCTTGTTCTTATCTACCAGGGTGCCGTTGTATAAAGCGGTCTTAGCGCTAAGGTGACCGTAACTCCCATACCTTAACATAGGCTTAAGGTAGTCTTAGCGCTAAGGTTGTTTTGTACAGCAGCACCCTGGGCACAAATAGTACAAAATTGAGCTATATAAGCAGTGTACTTGCAATCAAGCTAGGCAATTCAGATTAGGCACCATTTGTATCAACATCGATTGTCATTTCAAGGCTGCTTGAAGTGATTAGAGTGTCACCTATCTACCTTTGGTGGTTGATACAGATGATTGGTTGGTAGATACAGCTCACTTGGTGGTACATACTGCTCATGATTGGTAGATACAGATGGTTGGTAGATGGTATTGATCATGTGGTAGATGTTGCTAATTAGGTGCTAGATATTTGTCATCGGTGGGTAGATACTTCTTATTGGATGGTAAATGCTAGTGATTAGGTGCTAGATATTTGTCATCGGTGGGTAGATACTTCTTATTGGATGGTAAATGCTAGTGATTAGGTGCTAGATATTTGTCATCGGTGGGTAGATACTTCTTATTGGATGGTAAATGCTAGTGATTAGGTGCTAGATATTTGTCATCGGTGGGTAGATACTTCTTATTGGATGGTAAATGCTAGTGATTAGGTGCTAGATATTTGTCATCGGTGGGTAGATACTGCTGTCTGGATGGTAGATACAACTGGTTGGTTGGTAGATAGTACTGATTATGTGGTACATATTGCTGACTGGTTGGTAGATACTGCTCACTGGTTGGTAGCTTCTGTGATTGGTTGGTAGGTTCTGCAGATAGGATGATAGATACAGCTGATTAGATGGTAGATACTGATCATGGTTGGTAGATACAACTGGTTGGTTGGTAGATAGTACTGATTATGTGGTACATATTGCTGACTGGTTAGTAGATACTGCTCACTGGTTGGTAGCTTCTGTGATTGGTTGGTAGGTTCTGCAGATAGGATGATAGATACAGCTGATTAGATGGTAGATACTGATCATGGTTGGTAGATACAACTAGTTGGTTGGTAGATAGTACTGATTATGTGGTACATATTGCTGACTGGTTAGTAGATACTGCTCACTGGTTGGTAGCTTCTGTGATTGGTTGGTAGGTTCTGCAGATAGGATGATAGATACAGCTGATTAGATGGTAGATACTGATCATGGTTGGTAGATACAACTAGTTGGTTGGTAGATAGTACTGATTATGTGGTACATATTGCTGACTGGTTAGTAAATACCACTGACACTGGTTGGTTAATAGGTTCTAGGATTATAGATACAGTTATATAGGTGGTAGATACTGGTAGATACTGATCATAGGTGGGTAGATACTGCTAACTTTGTTCAACTTGTTGATGTAGGAGCAAAAACAATTTCTTTGGGTTCATGCTAAAAAATATCACACCTCTAAGGGAAGTATTCCAGCTTGTTTGTGTGTCGGGGTGAGATTTGGATAATGATGTATATATATGGCTGAAGAGTCTCATCTAAAGATTACATGGCAACAGCCTTCCATTGTTAATGAGCGACTTGTAAACATCATTTGGAGACGCATAACCACTTGCAGCGAGTGTATGTGTGTGACAGAAATAATGTTGAACATGTTTACATTTTTGACCTCCAGTGTTGAAGTACATGATCTTTCACTATTATATCAAAATTCTCCCCACACCTCTATTTAATCTTCTCTTATGAAGTTTTACGTTCAAGGTTTAAGTGTGTAGTTTATCGTCTTAATGTAGTGATGTTAGTGTTTGAATTTACATCAAGTTTCACCTAAGGATAATGTAGTACGGGGCTATGCTTTTGCCAAGAACAATTTAAGATCATCCATTTCCTGTTAGAATCCGAGCCCCTCCAGGTTTTGATAGGCTAATATTTGTGCTGTGGACTGAGTAGCATCTCATGGCATAGTGGTGGATTTAGTTTCAGTGTCCTCCTGTGACAATTTGAAATGTTTGGCTATTCTAATCTATGTTTGTGTTCTATAAGTAGTAACTGTGGAGATAAGTACAAGCAATATATCTCTCTAATAGAGATCAATATCTGGTATTTCTGATACAGACTATAGCAGTAGACCCCTCTTGTGAGGTTCATATTATTGGCTGTGTACCAAGTGCTAGCTCCATGCTTCTATAGTGAGGGAAAGGAGAGAGAGAGCCTTCGGCTTGTACAAGCTATGCACAGCACAGAATAGAATATTTCAGAATGGTGTAGGGGCCTTGCAAAGAGTGCATGCAGGGATATGTACCAGCCACAAACAATTTGGATTTAATGAATTTGGCCTGAATCTCGAAAACAGTCGAGGAGTTTTTGAGGTGGTGTGCTCAATGGGCCAGTGCTAGTGACAGGTGGAAATAGTCTGTGTCATTTTTTCTGTTTCATTTCAGACGCAATCACGGAGGCAAACCAACATGGGCAACCTCCGCCACCCTACCCTGGGGCCAATCACCAGGTGAGTTGCAAAGCTCGTATACAAGATGATGATTATCATTCTTCATCAGATTATATGTTGTTGTTTTGTGTCTTTTGTGTGATTAATGTACATGAATTCATTAAATCATCAGTTAAGTGTTTGTGTTATTGAAATGATGTAATGTGTTGTGATCACCATGTGGATGTTATGATGGACACTGTATCTGCAGCTGGAGAGAAAGGAACCTTCTCTGATGATATCATCATATGATGCTGGTAGTTATATGATGATATCTTCATATGATGCTGGTAGTTATATGATGATATCATCATATGATGCTGGTAGTTATATGATGATATCATCATATGATGCTAGTAGTTATATGATGATATCATCATATGATGCTGGTAGTTATATGATGATATCATCATATGATGCTAGTAGTTATCTGATGATATCATCATATGATGCTAGTAGTTATATGATGATATCATATGATGCTGGTAGTTATATGATGATATCATATGATGCTAGTAGTTATATGATATCATCATATGATGCTGGTAGTTATATGATGGCTTGGCAATGGTAATGACAGTGATCATGTTATCTGTGTTGAATCTGTATCACATTTTGTGAGGAAAGTGTTGTGGGTTTTGTGTTGCTACTGCTGACATTAGAGGATGACGTGGTGTGATATGACATCAGAAGATGACGTGATTTGATATGACATCAGAAGATGACGTGATTTGATTTGACATCAGAGGATGATGTGATGTGATATGACATCAGAAGATGATGTGATGTGACATCAGAAGATGATGTGATGTGATATGACATCAGAAGATGACGTGATGTGATATGACATCAGAAGATGACGTGATGTGATATGACATCAGAAGATGACATGATGTGATATGACATCAGAAGATGACATGATTTGATATGACATCAGAAGATGACGTGATGTGATATGACATCAGAGGATGATGTGATGTGATATGACATCAGAAGATGATGTGATGTGACATCAGAAGATGACGTGATGTAATGTGACATCAGAAGATGACGTGATGTGATATGACATCAGAAGATGACATGATGTGATATGACATCAGAAGATGACGTGATGTGATATGACATCAGAAGATGAGAGTGAATGAGTTTGACGAGAGGAAAGGAGTATGATGATAGTTATTGTGTGAAGACATTTGACATGCTGTCATGACATCTGATGGGGATGTTATTACGACACATGCTCATATCGTTAGTGATGTGATATCATCTGATGATATGATGTCTTATGATGCGATAACATCTGAGGATGTTACTAGGATATCTGATGTGATATCATCTGATAATATGATGGTGGCTTATGATGTCTGATGTTGAGATCATTTGGTGATGTGATATCATCTGATGATGTCTGATATTGAGATCATTTGGTGATGTGATATCATCTGATGATGTCTGATGTTGAGATCATTTGGTGATGTGATATCATCTGATGTCTGATGTTGAGATCATTTGATGATGTCTGATGTTGAGATCATTTGGTGATGTGATATCATCTGATGATGTCTGATGTTGAGATCATTTGGTGATGTGATATCATCTGATGATGTCTGATGTTGAGATCATTTGGTGATGTGATATCATCTGATGATGATGTCATTTGATGTTGATGATGTCTGATGTTGAGATCATTTGGTGATGTGATATCATCTGATGTCTGATGTTGAGATCATTTGGTGATGTGATATCATCTGATGATGTCTGATGTTGAGATCATTTGGTGATGTGATATCATCTGATAATAAGATGATGTCTGATGTGATGATGTTTCTGTGACACCCGGTGATATCATCTGGTGATGTTATGACATCTGATGTTACTACGATATCTGATGATGATGTTAGTATGACATCTGGTGATGTTACTATGACATCTGGTAATGACATCTGATAATGTTGTGATGTCTATCATCTGATAATATAGCAATTACATGATGTAATGCCCTCTGATGATATGACATATATTTACATCTGATGTTATGATGACATCTATTAATATGACATCTGAGATGATGTGATGACATCAGGTGATAGCTGAATGACATCTGATGTCGAACCTTTGATGTTACAGTGGCGTCGGATGCTGATGCTATAATGATATCTTGTAATAATATAGTATCTTCAACAAGGAAGATCACCTCCAGGTCAGAATATGACTACCACTTACTACAACTACAAAGTAACCACATTCTAGCCTATCACCTTCACTTGAGGCGCTCTTGTCCAAAGCGCCTTCCTGAAAGACCAGCATAGTTTAACTTACCATCATAAGACAAAATCTACTTGAGGATTGAAAAAATCAATGTACGGCCCCAAGCCACAGCTCAAGTTACTACTCCCGAATGTCATGTAAAATTATTTCACATTTTTACCAGCCTGCCCTACAGTGGTTTGTAAACCCTCTGCTTACAAATTTGATCACAGTGTTCGTGTGTGTAGTTTATACACATGCATCCCACTGGGCAGATGTATTGTCTACCTGTCGACAGGTATGGGGAGTGTTCATGCATCTCGTACATTGCACTCAAGGTGTTGTATTTCACTTTGTCACACAGGTAACCCTTCTAGGGAGGAAACAAGGATGTCTTTATGTGTTATTTTGTGGTGCTGATTATCTTTTTAATTTTTTTAAAATTCTGCTTATAATCAGTGGAAAAGTACCTTGGTCTGAGTGCAACATGAAAAGACCCTTTGTGTGGAAACTCACACAATTATAACTGCTTAGAGTAATAAATGTTTTATGGCAATACCCAAAGGATCATGCCTGTCAGAGAAGTATGAATAAATGTCGTAAAAGGAACAAAATATTTGACACACAGATAACTCAACATAGATATAATGTAATCTATATATACTAGCACTGACTGTTTAAGTTTTGATTGTAAGTGATATGTGTTTTGTACGCAAGGAACAAAAATCTAGTGATGTGAGCGAGACCAGAGTATACTTACCCTGAAGGGGCGGTGGGGTAGCCTATTGGTTAAAGCAGTCGCTTGTCACGCCAAAGACCTGGGTTCGATTCCCCTCATAGTTACTATGTGTGAAACCTATTTCTGGTGTCCACTGCCGTGATATGGCTGGAATGTTGCCAAAAGCGTAAAACTAAACTCACTCACTCACTTATCCTGAAATGTACGTTGGTTTGTTCATTTAAGGAGGCAGCATCTTATGTGACGTTTCATTACACAAATTTATGTGAATGTATATCCGATCGTCGAAGCTGATTTTCCTACCAACATTGGTGTCTATTTGCATATGTTAAAAAATAGGTCATAAGTTGAGCTGAGCTTGCCAGGTACAACGGTACAAGGGAATGTATTACACTGTGTGACTTAAGGGAAAGTATTTAGTGCGGACATTTCATCAATGATGAGATATATCTCAGAAGATATGTTCAGCATACCTGATAAGCCTCTGCCCCAAGTCAGCCATTGGGGTCGTAAATCTGCTGTCTGTATCTATAGAGGTGGGAAGGTACATGCAAAGTGTGTGTTGGAGCGATGCTTCTTTAGCCCGCTCTTCGATGTGAGGATGAAATGAGCAAGGCCAACAGGTTTTGATTGACAGGTCAGATGGTCGCTACCCTGTTAGGAGTGGTAGTTAAATGTGTATCATATCTCGGTTAAAAAATGTAACATATGTTGTGAATATTTGGAAACACTGATGCACTTGAATGTTATTTTTTTCATTTGCAATTGAGCTAATGTGTTTATTGATATGACTTTTGAAGTTTACATATCACTGGTTACAGTCGGTTTTCTAGTCTGTCTTGCAGTCCCTGAATATTATTTCTTTCCCACAACCTGCCAATACTTTAATGCTGGAACCTGAATGTAGCAAGTCTAGATTTCTACAGGTTGAACTTCCCTGTCTCACTGGGGCTCCTTTTAAATATTATTGCATTTACTTCTTTCAGTCAAAGATATGAAGTTTCACATGCTAAGCATTCGTCTTTGGTTTTCACAAAGGATGTTGGGATGACAAGGTCCAGTGAAAACTAGTCTATCAACAAAATATGTCTGCACCTTTTAATGGACTTTACAAAAGCAAAGTAAATACCCCGGTATGAGTTTTATAGTGCTTTGTCAATATTCCTTCAATATCCTGCAAGGAACTTTAGTATTACACGTTGTTCCTGTGTTGGAAATCAAACCTAAGCCTGTTGGGACCATGAAGTAAAAAAGAAACATATTCTTTTCTGATGTGATGAACTAATCTGGTAATTTCATCTGTTCCGTTTTGTTAGTTCCAAGATGAATTCTACCAATAAAGGCTAATCCTGTAATGACAACAGGCTTATCTTCATCCACACAACTCCCTAGCTATAATAATGTGGGCATCAATGGCCATGGAAATGCCTTATCTCTGTTCGTTGAGGGCATGCAATGATGGAGTGGTCAGCCAGGATTATTCATGTGTCCACGACCGATGGTCAGTTGGCTCCATGCGGACCCCTCGGACCTGGGTTACTGTCAGTAATTGCTCACAGAATATGATACATCTTGTCATAACAGGGTTAGGGAATTGCTTGTCTATATTGGCACTCTGGCCACTTCAGAATATCGGCAATAGGCCTGTTTGCGTTTCCCAAACAGGGTCAGGTCGGGTTGAAATTGAATAATGTTCCTTGGAAGTGCCAACACTTGAACATAATGTCCTCTATAACGGGGATTTAGGCTGTATGCTTTTGAAACTAGTGGTGAAATTCGTCTGGACTGTAACCTCGAAGATGATCTGATTGGAACAGTGAGTATGTGACTATATTTCAGCAATATTTCAGCATTATTCCAGCCATATGCCTATTAGGACAAATAATGCGTCCATTTAGACCAAGCTGAAACTTTGGAATTATGACAAGTGGGTATGTAAGTAGAATAATTTCTGTGTGGAAATTATTTCAATATTTGTACTTTTATAATCGACTGTTCCATACAGAATAGGACCTTTACACTACATCCTTGTCTT